ACAAAATTGTGTGAACGGTGGATAGAAATAGAAAACTGTAGCTCTAACTATAATTCATTGAAGGACTTGATGATAAGGGAACAATTTATTTCCTCCTGTGATCGTAATCTAAAATTGTTTCTTAAGGAACGCTCACTGGCGACTCTGCAGGATCTTGAAGAGAGTGCAGATCGGTATATCGAGGCTCATGGTCATTTTACCCTTAGGACTCCCCAACAAGCAACTGTGTCAAGTCAATCGTCGGCGCAGCAGTTCGGGCAGGTAAATGAGGGCAGTGACAGGAGCCCTCGTAAGGCACTATCTTCGCCTCTTCCTCAGGTAAAATGTTATATCTGTCAAAAGGGTGGACACAAGGCGTGGGATTGCTATTTCAGGCCCAATATAAATAAAAGCAAGGTTGCAAGCACGTCAGCGACGTCCGGACCGACGAGGAAAGAGGCCGCGGCGGTAACATCACAGGGAGCGCCGAGCATCGCCGAGCACCCGCAAGACGACGCATCGGAAGTTGTACAGGTCGACCCGGTGGGGGTGATTGACGATCACGGATGGATTAAGGTAAATGGAAAGGGATTTCGGATGGCTTGTGGAGGATCAGGAAAAGATAGACATTCGAAGTTAATTACGAAACCGGGAGAAGTGGAAGGACATAAAGTGACGGTAATGAGGGACAATGGCTGCACTACCGTGTTGGTCAAGAGAAGCTTGGTACCCAATTGTAAGTTGACAGGTAAACACTGTGTTGTCAAGATGGCTAATTCGGATGTATTTTGTTATCCGGAAGCAGAAATTACGGTTAAGAGTCCTTTTTATACAGGAACGACTAAAGCTGTTTGTATACCTAATCCTATACATGACTTGGTAATTGGAAATGTACCAGGCGTAAGGTTAGGAGATAATAACGGAAAACACACGTGTGGTGTAATAACACGTGACAGACAAACGAAGGAAAGAAAACAACCAGAACTTAAGGTATTGGCAGTCTCTAACATGCTGAATATGACAATCAAGCGAGCACAGCAAGAAGACAAGACTTTGGATGGAGTACGGAAGTATGCAGGGGAAGGTAAAGAATTTTTTCGTAGAAAGAAAAATGAATTTTCTATGTTTATATTAAAACGAGGAGTTCTTTACAGAAAGGTGAAAATCGGTGACTTGGAGAGAGAGCAACTCCTTGTTCCCTCCCAGTGTCGCTCCGCCGTACTCGACCTGGCTCATTCCAGCATCATGGGGGGTCATCTGGCGACGGGGAAAACCAAAGATCGAGTGATGGAGAAGTTCTTTTGGCCCGGGATAACTAAAGACATTGAACGATATTGCAAATCGTGTGATGTGTGTCAGAGGACTGTTGACAAAGGTAAAGTACAAAGAGCAAAATTAGGGAAAATGCCAATAATTGGAGAGCCCTTTTCTCGTTTAGCTGTTGACATTGTCGGCCCGATTGAACCGCGGTCGTCTGACGGTTCGAGATACATCTTGACGGTCGTGGACTTCGCCACAAGATACCCGGAAGCTGTGGCACTGCAGAACATCGACACTGCATCCGTGGCGGAAGCTCTGGTAAATATCTTCAGCCGAGTGGGCATTCCAAGGGAAGTGCTATCAGACCGGGGAACGCAATTTACCTCGGCAATGATGCAGGAAGTATATAGGTTGTTGTCTATACAGTCTATTACTACGACTCCTTATCACGCTATGTGTAATGGTTTGGTAGAAAAATTCAATGGTACACTGAAAAGGATGTTGAAAAGAATGTGTGTAGAACAGCCTAAAGAGTGGCATAGATATTTATCACCATTACTTTTTGCATATAGAGAAGTCCCACAGGCAAGCACAAAGTTCTCGCCATTTGAGCTTGTTTACGGCCACGCAGTGAGAGGCCCGATGACATTGTTACGAGAGCTGTTTGACGGCGAGGTGAAGGAACCCGAAACGAGGTCATCATACGAATACGTTATCAGTCTACGGGAAAGGTTAGAAGACACTTGTCGTATGGCATTAAATGAACTAAAGAATGCACAGGAAGTTGCACAATATTACTATGACCGAAAAACTAAAGACAGGGTTATAGAATCGGGAGATTACGTATTACTACTGCTACCTACGAACTCGAATAAACTGCTGTTTCAGTGGAAAGGTCCTTTTAAGGTAATTGGAAGTCCGAATCGACTGAACAAGATAGTGGATGTGAACGGAACATTAAGGAAATACCACATAAATATGCTAAAAAGGTATGTACATAGGGAATCGGCTGACGCTTTTCCAGCAGCGGTTGTGGTGGTGAACGACGAGGATAATGCGGAGGGAAGAGCGACGACAATTCCCAGTTATAACCAGCGCGAAACATGGAAAGATGTCTCGTTAGATTCGGACTTGCCAGCCGATCAACGAGACGACGCGAAAAGCATCCTGCAAGCGTTTGGCGATGTTCTCACCGATGTCCCAGGTAAAACAACCGAAATTGAATATAATATTGAATTAACAGTTCCTGAAACGATAAGAGTAAAACCGTATCCTTTACCCTATAGACTGGAGGAAGAAGTGAAAAAGGAATTGCGTAGTATGCTTGAGATAGGGATAATTGAGCCTTCAGACTCTGAATATTCTACACCTATTTTAGTTGTACCTAAAAAAGATGGAAATCGGAGACTTTGCTTAGATTTCAGAAAGCTGAATAAAATTACAAAGTTCGATGCTGAACCTATGTGTGATACAGAAGCAATTTTTTGTAAGATTGGCGGAAGCAGGTACTTTTCTAAAATAGATTTGACGAAGGGATATTGGCAAATACCTCTTACGAAAGAATCTAGAAAATTTACAGCCTTTTCTACACCCGCAGGATTATTTCAATTCACCGTATTACCATTCGGTCTCGTCAATGCTCCAGCAGTTTTTAACAGGTTGATGAGACATTTATTTGGAAATATAGATGGTGTGGAAACCTTCCTCGATGACATCCTGATTCATTCGAAGACGTGGAAGCAACATTGCAGCATCTTGCAAAAGGTACTCGGGATATTACGGGAAACAAATCTAACGGCTCGACCAGTAAAGTGCGAAATAGGTAAGAGAAGTTTAGAATATTTAGGACATATGATTGGAGAAGGACATATAAAACCAACAAAGGAAAAGGTATCGGCTATTCTTAATGCCCCAGCTCCTACAACAAAGAAGGAAGTAAGGTCATTCATGGGGTTGTCAGGCTACTATCGTCGTTTTGTTCCAGACTATGCAACGATAGCAGCTCCGCTAAACGACTTGGTAAAGAAGAACGCACCGAACAGAGTGAAGTGGGAGGATAAACATGAAATGGCGTTTAACAAGCTGAAGCAAGTGTTGGTAAATAACCCTATATTAAAACTACCCGATGTTAATAAATCCTTTATCCTCAGAACTGATGCCTCGGATGTAGGATTGGGAGCTGTCTTGTTACAGGAAGATGCTGATGTGAAAATGCCCGTAGCATATGCAAGCAGGAAATTGTCGGACGCAGAAAAGAAATATTCAGTAGTCGAACGAGAGTGTTTGGCTGTCGTATGGGCTACGAAAAAGTTTTACAGATACTTGTACGGGCAGCAGTTTTATTTGGAAACCGACCATAGGCCTATTACGTACTTGGACAGTGCCAAGACGCTGAACGGTCGGCTGATGAGGTGGGCGATCGCTCTCCAGGAGTTCCGGATGATCTTCAGTTATATCAAAGGAAGTGAGAATGTGGGTGCCGATTATCTCAGTAGAATTAATGCACATGACTCAAAAGAAAATTAG